GGCGCCCCCCCGCCCCCCGCCCCCCCCCCGGGGGGGCCAGGCCGTTCCCGGCGCGAGGCCGGCCTGTATCCGTTCACTTCTTGATGGGTGTTTGGGTTGTTTCTATTTTTCAGCTATCACAAACAAGGCTGCTGGCAACAACTCTTTACATGTCTTTTGTAGAGACATATACTTTCACTTTCTCTTTGGCAAAAACCTTGAGTGTTTAACTTTCTAAAAAACTGTCACATAGATTCTAATGTGAACGTGTTCCTGGAGATGAATAAGGCGGCTGTCCTGCCCACAGCAGTAGGGAACAAAACCAAAGTTAGAACTTCGATCATCTTGACTTTGAAACTTAGGCTCATCACCATTAACCTTTTCTGAGACAGACAAATATAATTTGTCCATTAATCAAGGGATCTGAAGAATAAGTGGGGATGTATTATATAGTTACAAAGTATTTAGACCATTTTACATTCCCACCAGGAGTGCATGAAAGTTTCCTTTCTTTTGCATCCTTTCCGACATTTACTATTCTGAATAAATGTTCATTATAAAAAAGTTTTTAGGAAAACCCATTTCACTACTGGGACTATAATACTATTACACTGTCATGTCTGTAGATTTCCAAAGTTTGTCCTTCTAGGCAAAGTGTCTTTCTTTTTTTTTTTTTCTTTTGAAAGTTTCTGGCTAATTTGACATATGCTAAACTGTCTTTTCACAACCATTGTTTCACCCTCATTATTCAAAACATCACAAATGGAAATTTAAGAACAAAATACAGGAGTTTCCCATACACACGAAACTGTGCAATGGACTTTTCTCTGTCTTCACTGCCTTTTTACTGTTTTTAAAACTGGTTTTCTGAGTAGGTCAGAAGCTATTTTTTTTGAGAGAGAGAGATTTTTGCTATAAGGGCACGTGTGCTAGCTAGAGACACAGAGAGAAAGAGAGAAATCACCCCTCAGAGGGGATAGCCATGTGACAAACCCTTCTCCTTCACTCTCCTCTCAGGATCTTGGACACACATGTATAAGCAGCCAACATGTGGCGTGGTGGTTAAGGGTGCTGGACTGCCACAGGGCTAACTGTGGTTCGAGTCTTGTGGCTTGCTTTCTCACCACCCCCACCTTGTCCCTCTTTGGTCAAATCAAAATAAATAAATAAAGTTAAGTAAAATAATTCTTAAGAAAAAAAAGTCATCAGGTCCAGGACACTAATCATGGTTGACTACCATAATACCATCTGCTGGTTCCGGAAGCCATCTTTAATGAACTTTAAACTTAGTATTTCTCTTGTAGGAACTAGAGACAAAAGTAGCTCTGACTCTTTCTATGTTCCTGAGTCACTTTTCTAGTACACTAACACTTCCTAACATTTTCACTAGTACTAACATTTGCTAGTAAAATTCAGTAGTGACATCTCAGGTCTTAAAAGTCTTAAATGAGTATTTTAAAAAGGGTTGACTTAAGTCATAACTTTATGCTTAGCAATTATTCTTTTATACTTCAGAGTTATAGACAGGGCTAGTAGAAAAATTAAGTAAATAACGTGAATAATTCCAGTTCTTGTAAAACATTACAGAACACTCACTGTGTGCTGGGCATTCTCTCTTTATCAAATCTGTGAAGAGTATTCTACTCTGTCAAGTTTAGACAGGGCCTCTTAAGTAGGAATTGCTCAAAGTAAAAGAAAACCCCAAAAGTATTTGTTGTGCTCTTTTGGTGAAGCACCTCATAATACTCTTCAGTTTAAAATTAGGTGATTTCCAAGATTGCTGCCCTTCCCTTTCCTGTGGTTCACTTCCTCTTCTCATTGTCCTACTCAGAAAAGACGCAGGATTCACTTGGCCACTACATAACACCAGCACCTTTGCTATGGTGTCTCAGGGGTGTAGGTTTTCTAAGTTAACCTGCCTGTAATTGTTACATTCTTGCTGCCAGTGGTCTGACTGCCTTGGCTGGGCCCACGGCATGCACGATCCAGACTCTAAGACGCTGAGCCCTCTGTCTTCTAAGCATGAATGCCAAATGGAGTGAGGCCAGAGTTTGAATCCTCCTCTCCTAGCTTTTACTTTTCCTATCCATAAACGAATGGAACCCTCCCTACCCTGGAAGTGCATTCATAGAGTACCTACTACGTGAAGGGCCAGTCCTGGGGGCTAATGTGGGGGGCATAATGCCCTTAAAGGCTCCTTAAACTCCAAAGCCTTACTGCTTTTACTATCAGTGTTCGTCTTCTCCCTATAAATCCACCGATGAAAGAAAATGAAGTAAACAACGAGGATGGGGGAAGAGGGACTTGGCACAGAGCTTTCAAAAAGAAACTATTTTTCCTGAAAAGATACAAGAAGCAAGAAAGGTCCTGTTCTCTCTGGATGGTACTCTGAGCCGTCATTAGGAGGCCTAGGGGCTCCTGGAACTACTTTTTCTTGGTCACAGAACCTAGAAACCCTACAGTGTTATAAACCGAAGTTCTAGTTCTGCCAGACATTACTCAAAGCTCTTGATCTTTCTAGGCTTCAGTTTTCTCTCATGAGAGCCACAGGTTCTAGGCCCTTAACTGGATGGTGTGCCATTGGCCAGTCACTCAGCACCTCTGGGGTCAGTTCGCAAGCGAGGGTGCTGACCGGGCGTCAGCCTGAAATCCTGTACTGAGCAGGGCGCCCCCCAGGTCAGAAATCGCTGATTTACAAGTGAGTTCACCTACTCCGGTTTATGCCTTTCTCTGCATCACGGGACTTTGTGAGAAATTGAAACTGAAAACGGGAAAGTCCCTGTGCCTAACCTAGCCTGGCGAAGAGCGCTAGGCGACTGGTGACGGCTCGGTGGGCTGAGTCCTGATTGGCTGTGCGCGCGGCAGCTATAAGTAGGCGCGCGCGGCTCTCCCCGCAGTTCTGCCACCGACTGAGCTGCAGTCGCGATGTCGCCCTACCTGGCCTTGGCGCTGCTCGCGCTGTCTCTGTCAGGGCTGGACGCTGTAGAACGTAAGTGTCCCCTCCTCCGCTAATTCTCCCTCTCCGGCCCCCACCCTTTTCTGCTTTCTGGGCGCTGACTCTCTGTCCCTTTCTCGGCCACCCCCGGGACTCGGTCTCTAGGGAAGCATTGGGGTGGCCGGGAAGTGGGGAGGGGATGCGAACCCGGCACGCGGGCTTCTTGCCCCTTCCCGCGGGGAGCGGGGAGACCTCCAGCCAGCCTGGGCAGGGTGAGTCGGGGTAAAGTTTGGGCGGCGTCAACGCGCTTCGGAGCGGCGGCGCCTTTTGTGGGGACAGATGTGCGGCTTTGGGAGACACGCCCGGGCCGGCAGTCTGCCCAGCTCCGCTTGCCTGGACCCGGAGGGCTGCGGCTTCGCCCCGGACCCAAGTCCGCGGAAACCCTGGCGCTGCTTTGCGCTGTTACAAAGTCCTGTCGCAGCAGGAACTCACTCACTCCCGATCCGTGTCGCTTTCAGCGATGATCCTAAGAGCTACCTGTTATTGACAGTGTGCCGAGGACGTTAGGTACTTCATGTCACTTAATTTTGAAAACGCGCCTAGGATGTAAAAATCCTGTGGTTATCATGCGCGTCTCACGGGGGGGAAACTGAGGCACCAAGATTTTAAGCGCTTGAATCACACACAGGGAATAAATGGCAGGCAATTAGGGTCGAAATAGAGTCGGAGCAGGGCCTTTATGGCTTTTGGTTGTAATCAGGGAGAGTTTGCCCGCCGAAAAAAACAGAGGCCATGGACCTCGGCTGCCTTTATTCACAGAGGACTTCCTCTTTGGTGCCTTGTCTGGTTCCCTCCACGAGGTTCCACTTTTTTTTTTTTTTTTTTTTTTGAGAGATATTTTTGCTATAGAGGACATGAGCTTGTTGGAGAGACAACAGAGATCATCTCCCAGCGGGGATGGCCACGCAGCAGCCCGTTATCTATTCTCCTCTCTGGGTCTTGGGCACACACACGTTACTGGTGGGAGTTTTAAGCCACCAGGTCAGGGACTCCAACCGCGATCCACTACGTAGGAGTCCACAACGTAGCCATTACGCCACTTTCAGTTTTGAAAACAACAAAGGTTCCTCAAATTCGGGAAGATGATAAAGACAGAGATAAGAATAATCTCAGGTGGTTCCTCCAGGACTGTCCAAGACACTGAAGATCCTGAGCCTTTAATATACTAGGCCATCTCGTCCTTTCTCCCCGACAAAACCCCTGGGAAGCAGTGTTTTGACCATGAGAAAGTGATAATTAATTTGAACACAATTTATTTACAAAATAAAGAATAACATATGTATCAACACCATTATTGATATTTGCTGGTGATGATGTCATATTTTAAAATAATAGGACATTTAAAAAAAATCTTATTTTGGGGGTTGGTGAGTAGTGTGGTGATTAAGGGTGCTGGACTCCCACATGGCCGACCACAGTTTGAGTCCCAGACCTGGCAGCTTGCTTTCTCGTTTTCCCTCTCTTGCTTGCTCTGTCCCCCTCTGGTCAAATTAAAATAAATAAATAAATAAGTAAATAAAGTTGAATAAAATAATTCTTAAAGAATATTATTTTGAAGATTTCCAATCCTGTTGCTAAGTATATGAACATTATATTGAGACAGCTTGATGGTCCACTTCATTACCTGCCATCCCCTGGAGTGGGCAATATGCATATTTGCTATCATAGATATTATTTATCAACCAGGTATTGGTACTGGTTATTTGGAAGCTGTTAGTGACTGTTCTGTTCAAATTTTGCTACTTATTTTGCAATGTGTAATTCCGCTGGTTCTACCCTTCCCTCCAGCTCATAGGCTGTATATAATATTAAACCTTTCCTTGGTGGCCAGCTGCTCAGGATAACTAGCGATCCCAGCTTTCACTTATGTCATCTCGGGGTGGGCATACCTTACAAATGTAAAGCAAGGTGCAAGACCATGAGAGGAGTTTGTGGCAATATATTGAACTCATATTTGGTCACATTAAGTACATGATCGATGTAGAAATAATGCCTTCCATTTCCTTTAACTGCATATATCAAAATACTTTCCTACTAATTAATATGATGTTTTGACTTTTTTGGAAAGATTTTTGCTATAGGGCATGTGCACTTGCCAGAGAGATAGAGACAGAGAGATAGAAATTACCCTCCAGAGGGGTTGGCCACACCCCAATCCCTTCTCCAGTCTCCTCTCAGGATTTTGGGCACACATGGACACACACCTGGCATGAGTTTTAAGCTAGTTTTAAGTTTTAAGCTAGTTTTAAGTTTTAAGTCCAGAACTCGAACTGTGTCGACCACATATGAGTCCAGTGCCTTAACCACTATACCACCTGCTGGCCCCTTGACTTTTCTTTTTAAATATTACTTATTTGATTTTATTTATTATAATTCTTTTTTTGATTTGACCAGAGAGAGACAGGAAGAGGGAGAAAGAGAAAGCGAGAAAGCAAGTTGCCAGGTCCTATACTCGAACCACTGTTGGACATGTGGGAGTCCAGTGCCTTAACCACACACTACCTGCCGGCCCCATCGCTTGACTTCTGGTTTTTTTTAGAGAGAAATTTTTATTACAGGGAACATACGCTAGCCAGAGAGACAGAGAGACCGAAAGTGAGATATCACTCTCCAGGAGTATGGCCATGCCACAACCTCTTTTCCTCCATTATCCTCTCGAGATTTGGGGCACTGGTGTACTTGTGCCTGGTGTGAGTGTCAGGCCTCTGGATCTGGGATTTGAACTGTGGTTGGACACGTGGGAGTCAGCGATGTAACTTTTCCACCATCTATTGGTCCCGATTTTAGTGTGTTTCAGTACAGATGTCCAGGGACAGATTATTGAACTGAGTCCATCTGAGAGAGAAGTTGTTGAGTTCATCCATAGTAAAGACATCTGCAGCCCACGATGCAGGTGCTGAGTGCTGGTCACTGCACTTGACACCTTGACACCTGACACACATTAGAAGTCAGAAGGGTGTAGATCGAGAATCCAAAGAGGGGAATAAACATAAGAAAAGATTCACAGGGCCTAAAGCAGGATCCCATTAATATGAACAATTCATTGTGTCTGCTGTGGAGGATGCGTGAAATGAGAAATGAAGTTTGAAAAGATTGGGCTAATGTAGGCTCTTGAGTGATGTGTTAAGGAAGCCACTAAAGGTTCTTAAAAGCCTCTAGAGAGGGGTTCCTTTTTTTTTTTTAGGACATGTGTGCTTGCCAGAGAGAGACAGAGACAGTGAGAGAGAAAGTGAGAACCCCCTCCTCCCGCCTCCTCAGGGAGGATGGCCATGCCACACTCCCCTCTCCTCCATTCTCCTCCTGGGATCTTGGGCATGCACACATGCCCAGCATGAGTTGTAAGCCACCAGATCTGGGACTTGAACTGTGGTCAGCCATGTGGGAGTCCAGCAATGACATAACCTTTGCTGGCCATACAGAAAGGTTCTTAAAAATTCAGCACAATCTCCTAGAAGGTTCTACTAGAAAAAAAGAAGAACAAAGCAAGACCCTAAAAGGCACATACAAGGGAAATATCTGGGAAAGACACTATTGTAAGTCATGGTTTATACCTTAAAATGAGGTAGCTTTTTGGAAAAGTGGAAATCATTTTGCCAAAGGTGAAATTAAATTAGGAGAAATCAATGATCAATTTTAAACAGTTGGTACATGATCTGGATTGAGATCAAGTTGGCCCCAACTGAAAGACTTCATTTATTTTTCCTCACTGTTCTCCAGGTGCTCCAAAAATTCAGGTTTATTCTCGTCACCCAGCTGAAGATGGAAAGCCAAATTACCCAAACTGCTACGTATCTGGCTTTCATCCACCTCAGATTGAAATCGAGTTGTTGAAGAACGGAGTGAAGATGGAGAATGTGGAGCAGTCAGACTTGTCTTTCAGTAAAGACTGGTCTTTCTATCTTCTGGTCCACAGTGAATTCACACCCAATGGCAAAGACCAATATAGCTGCCGGGTGAAACATGTCACTTTGAAAAATCCGGAAGTAGTTGTGTGGGGTAAGTTTTTAAATTCTTTCCTTAGCTGACAAAAGATGTATTTTAGTAGAGCCAAAGCATAAAGCTACTTTTGACATTAAAAAATCTGCATACTGAGATTGTTAGAGAATAGTCTTAAGGCTCTGACTGATGACACCTGCCATGAGCCCTCTGTATAGCGTTGCCCCTGACCCAGTAATTTCCCTAAAGTGAGAGCAGGGAACAGTAGCACGTGCACTTGCAAGACTTCTTATCTACTGGCTTCCTCTGACTTTCCTGACAGCCTAATGGATACATAATACCAACGAGTGTCTCAGGGAAGTCTGGTCCTTTGCCTGTATGCTTCACCATCATGTACCTGGCAATCCTAGATTTTTCTTGTACTCTATGGCTGGACTGGGGTCTGAGGCTAGTAGACGAGATTGGTTCTTACTGGGTATTTCGAAACGAGCATTCAGGGTTAGAAACAGCAGTCACTTTTCTGGGCTCTGTTTCCCTCATCTATGCAGTAGCATGATCAGCCTTGACAGCCTCATATGACTGTATTTTTATAACAGGTTTAGATATTTTTTGGACATAGTATTTTCAAAGTAAAAGTTAATGTTTTCCTTTTTTTTTTTTCTCCCATCTTCTTAGACCGAGACAACTAAACAGCATCATGGAGGTAGGTTTTTGACCTTAAGATAACATTTTGTTTCACTCTTCTGGGGGCTCTTTATAGACACATCTAACACAATAACACTCACTGTGTGGAGAACATTAATCAGGTAGTATTTCCTTAGGCAAAGAAGAATCCTACAGGCTCCTATTCCCTTCCCCTGTGGGACGGCATGAAGATACTCTAAAGGGAGGACAGAGGTGCTGCCATTGTGTCACTTGAACAAAGGCAGTCGGTTACTCACACTATCTGCTATTTCCACCGTGGGCATCTCTGCAGAGAAATGGGCCTTCCAAAACAAACAGCTTTCTTCCTTTGCATAGCAGGTGTATTATTCTTCAGTCCCAAGAGGGGAGTTCCCCAGTTCACAGACATCCTATTCCTTCACTCTTCTGTTCAGCCCCAGAGTATAGGTACTATTTGCCTTCTAGAAGCTCCAGTCCATTAGAGAGAAATGGACACTGACTCTTAGAACTCCATGGAAAAAATCCCATAATAGATTTATCTGCAGGGAGCTCCAGAAGCATGGAAGAGGGAGGGACTTGGATTTTTATGTCTCCTCAATTGAGTGTAGAGGTAGGAAATCCAGCTTTTCAGTGAAATTTACTGGCTGGTTACTTCATGCTGAAAACTCATTTGAATCTCCTGCTGTACTCCAGGACAGGGAAATTGATTTGAGAGTACGTCAAAGAGGTGGGGTCATGTGCCCAGGCACACAGTTACCGAACACTAGATCCACGACACACTCTCTTAATACCAGCATTCTTTCCTCTAAGGTTTTAGAAGAACCGGTGTTATAAACTAATGGAATATGCTCTTTGAAACGAGTTTGGAGAATTGTCTGCAGCTATTTCTTTCAAAGGGGTGATTTACACAGTAGAAGTTAAACAATTATGGTAGTGAGACTTAGAATGCAAAGAAAATAAATGCATTTCCTAACCATCCTCTCCTCTCCTTTTTTCAGATCTGAAGATAGCTCATTTGGATGGGACTAATTCCAAATTGTTTTCATCTTTTTAATATTGATATGCTTATATACTTTATGCATAAAATTGGTGAGGCTATAATGATACAAATATAGGTATAATCTTTGCAGTTCTACTTTGGGCTCTGTCTTCATTTGGGGGCCTGGCAAGAGCACTATGGTAACTCAACGTGGGAAGAAGAAAATTCTCATGTCCATCATCAACATCTTGGTCAAATCTGAACTCTCCTGTCTCTTCTGTACACAAAAGCTGGATAGTAAAACAGTTGTGCATGTTCTAATTTGCATACTCTGCTGACAATTTGGGGTAAAATTTTAGAAATATAATTGACAGGATTATTGGAAATTTGTTATAATTGACGGAACTATAAATTTCATATCTTAAAGTGTGATACTAGCTTATGTATATTTTTATTTCTTAATTAAAACAATGGCCAAATTTGTTGTGTTCAGTTTCATATGTTTTACTCGCTCTCTCCTTCATTTTCAAGCAGAGAAATGATCTCTAAGTGCCTTTTCAAGAAGAGTGTGAACTCCTTGTGTATAAGTTATAGTTCTAGTGAGGGGTCTCAGTGACTTGCATTTTACAGATGAAGATTATGATGCCCAAAGAAGTTGAATGACTTAGGGTGACATAACTATTTACTGGGATACCTGGCTTCTGCCTTTTTATAAAAAGAATTATTTTATTTAACGTTATTTATTTTAATTTGACCAGAGAGGGACAGAGTGAGAGAGAGGGAGAGAGAGAGGGAAAATGAAAAAGCAAGCTGCCAGAATTGGGATTCGAACCACAGTCGACCATGAGGGAATACAACACCCTTAATTAACCACCACGCCATCTGCTGGTGTCTCAAGTCTTTTAACTAGCTTTTACTGCAATATAACAATGAAGTAAACAGTAATTAGATACCTACCAATTTTCCCCAAAACAAAAAATGTAAACAGGAAAATATTTCTGCCTATGCTTGTACAACTTCTCAAGTCATGTTAGAAGGGTCTCATATTCAATAATCAAGAAATTTTAAAACAGCAGAAATTATTTTCATTTTTAAAAAAGGTTCTCTTTCTCCCCTCTCCCTCCAAGTATTTAACATGAAAGAATGGGCTTCTTTACACATTAATTTCATACTTATGTGAGGCAGCGATAACCATCAGTAATTTGACATTTCTTTTCACAGTTGTTCCAGAACTATTCTCAATTTCACAAAGCCATTACCTAGTGTTACCATAAAACAGATTTTAAATTCTAGGTAGCAAGGATTTTTTTTTTTTTTTCCTGAAACTAATGTTAAGTCAAAGAAATACACTGAATTTCTGGAACTAGTACACTAAAAAGAATGAAACATAAGAAAAGTTACCTACTGTTTTACAGAAGAAATGATCTGCAAAAGTTGATTTTTGGCTGGATAGTATTTTACACTGTGTGGATCTGTGGTATCTGCTACTTGAAGCAGACATGCGTGGTATTTAGCCCTGCCCTATATCCTAGACCCCTCCCCCCCAACAATCTACTACCTTATACCAAGTATTGTGGATATGAGCCCAAGTCATCCCAGACAATCCAAAGTTAGTGTAATGCACTGGTGTAAAGCGTGAGATACAAAAATATCCCTTTCAATATTCATCAGAGTTCTGCTGTAAAGGAAAATCGGCAGTCAAATTCTCATTCTTCTCACAAATAAAATATACTTGTGTCACAAATCCTTCAGTTCTGTACCGTGAGCCAAGACACAGGAGTAGGCAGACTCAGAGGAACCAAAGGGAACTGGAGGATTTAATATTTTAGCAATCAATAGATACACTTTGAATGAAGACTAGATTGAAAATTTTTGGAGCCTGGTTTATATATGATGGCCAGCTTTATGCATTTGTTTACTTGGCCAAGATTTTGAGTGAGTTAGTGCTTGGTACCGATGAGATGAATAAAACCTGACCCTGCTCAATTTGCTTATATTAGTAGAGGGGCAGATGTGCACTCAAACAATGAAAACACATCCTCATAAGAAGATAGCATTAAGTATACCCAGAGAACTAGATGACAGGAAAAAGTGTTCAAGGAGCAATGAAAAAACTTCCTCAACAAAAAATGTTGAGGAAGCCATTTGCTTGAACTGAGAATTGGTGTGTAGCAGTTTTCTTGATTGGTTTGTGGGACCTGGGGTTTCCAGAGGGATGGCAGGTTTGGTCATGACAAACACTGGAGCAAGAGGACATGGGGGGAGACTTGTAGGAGTTCAACTGAACACGGGGACTGATATTCTGAAGGAAGAAAAATCTTTTTTTCTCTACTTCCATACTCAATACAGAACACTTTTGTGACCAGATTTGTTACATGTATAAATAAATTTTAGAAATCTTTGCAAAGTTTTCAGATCCTTTATGACTTAAACTTTCTGCAACTTAGGGGCCAGCAGGTGGCATGGTAGTTAAGGTGTTGAACACCCACGTGGTTGACTGGGGTTCGAGTCATGGACCTGCTGGCTTGAAAATCATATTGGGTGCACGCACAATCTCAAGAGGTGATTGGAAGAGAAGAGATTGCTTGTGGCCATTCCCTCTGGTGGGTGATTTCTCACCTTTCCTCTCTGTCTCTCTCTTTCTAGTGAGTGCACGTGCCCTTTGGTAAAATCCTACAAAAAAACCCCAGAACTTTCTACGACCTGCTTAAACCTTCCATGTACCCTGCATTTCCTCTTTTCATATGGGAATACTTTAGTCATTTTATTTTAGAACAAAAATTTATCTTATTACACAAAATTCTTTCTCATACAAATTTTTTTTTTCTTTTAACCTTCCTTACCAAAAACATATCCTCACACCTGTAACTTTTTCCCCTCCACATTTCTCTTTTCTACTTACTGTTTCCTTTCTGTTTCTGGATCCAAAAAAAATTACATTTGGAAACAACTTTAAATAACCTCAGAATCAGACAAAGTTATCCATTTTTTCAATTAAAAAGTACATATTTATGTCTTTCCCATAATTCTCATCAAAAACACATCTTAGGGCAACCCGGTACCCTAGTGGTTAAGGGAATTGGATCCCACATTGCTGATCATGGTTCAAATGCCAGCCCTGGAAGCTTAAAAAACACACCAGGTGTGTGTGTGTAGCCAAAATCCCTACAGAATGGAGAAATGGAGGAGAAGGTATTGTGTCATGACTACCCCCTACTGGGTGGTCATGACCCCATCTCTCTGTCTTTCTGTCTTTTCTGGGGAGTTCATGTGCCCTCTGGCAATTTAAGAAAATCTTAATTTTTCTTGTATACTTGGCATGTAGAATTACATATATCAATTACAATTTTGGGGACCAGCAGATGACATCGTAGTTATGTTGCTGGACTCCCACATGGCTGATCACAGTTTGATTCCTGAACTCAGCAGCTTGAAACTCACACCAAGAACATGTACATGCATGACCAAGATCCTGGGAAGAGAATGGGGGAGAAGGGATTGTTGCATGGCTATGCCCCTGGGGGGGTGATTTATAACTTTCTGTCTCTCTGGCGAGTGCATGCACCCTATAACAAAGATCTCTCAAAAAGAAAATAAAATTAGAATTTTTAATTCTCACTAACTTTAATTCCCAGGGGGCAAGCAAGTTTGAATTGTCATATACAGACCACTTTTGAATCTTAATTGAATGTGTATCTTGGTATTTAAAAAAAACAACTTTTTTTAAAGAAAGATTCACCATAACACAACTTTACACAAAAACATTGCAATTTTCCACAGGAACTGTTTAGAAAAAAATTTATTTCTTTATTTCTTCCACGAACAAGGTGTGTGTTGGGGGGAGACAGCACCCTTAACAGAGTCTTGATACTGTGCTTGAACCTTGGCTACTACGACCACTTCTGTCAGGACTTCTGCCCAGAGACTACCTGTCCAACCTTGGACTGATGCCACCCTTGTTGTTGATTCTAGTAGCCGAGGATATTTGTTCCCAAACAACTGGTATAACCTTCCCACCCAGCATTCCCTGCAGCACTTGTGTTTTTTTCTTTAAAAGAAAGAAGAACTGCCAGAGGACCGTAAGACCTCAGTGCACATATTTGGGGCAACCTGAGTATGTCCAGCCAGTTTGCATCTGGGCTGCAGTACCTCAAACTTGGTTAGAACAAACTTCTCACCTTTATTTTAATTGCCAGAGGGTGCAAGTGCTTGAGAGAGAGAGAGAGGGAGGGAGAGAGAGAGGAGAGAGAAGAGAGAGAGAGAGAGAGAACTTCTCAATGGGACGTGGTGACTCTGCAAACTTTTTTCTTGGTGTCTCCATTCTGTTAGGAGTTGGGGCACACATGCACATATGTGCCTGGCATATTTTTCAAGCTGCCAGACTGAGATTTGAACCAAGGTAGGTCATGTGGGATCTGACTTCTTTAACTACTGCACTGTGGGCAGCCCCAAATAAACTCCTTTTACTTTACATACTTTGCCTCAGTTTATCTTAGACTGATAGTAACTTGATTAGAAACATTATGCATAAAAACTATTCTGACACTTCCAAGAGCTACAAGAAGGACTGATCGCAAAGAAAAGAATGAGTAGGGACCAGCAGTTAGCATAATGGCTATGTTGCTGGACTCCCATGTAGTCAACTGTGGTTCGAGTCCCGGACCTGGTGGCTTAAACTCACTCTGGGTGTGTGTGCATGCGTGCCCAAGATCCAAGAAGAGAATAGAGGAGAAGAGGTTGCAGTGTGGCCATTCCCCCCGGGTGGTGATTTCTCACTTTATGTCTCTCTGTCTCTCTCTGTCCTTCTGGTGAGCGCACGCGCCCTGTAGAAAAAAACCTCTCTTAAAAAAAAAAAAAGAAAGAAAAGAATGAGTAAACACAATGAAAAAAACAGTGGATCCTGTGTCAGGAACTTACTCTGCACTGAACTCTATACATCTTCTCTCATTAGCTGGATGGAGTGATTCATCTTCTGTGGTTCTCGAAAACAAAGATGATTAAAAAGTCTAAGAAACTGAGATATTTGTATCCCTTTGGTAAAGCACCCAAGCCCAACCGAATCCCCACGCAGGCTTCCCCTCCTCCACGGGCCACTTCCTCTTTGTACCGTTCACAGAGAACACCCGGAGAGGACGTCTGCTGCCACACAAGGCAATGGCGTTACCCGAAATTGACACGATGGCCTAGGCATCCATAGCTGTCTCTAGGTGTGCATGCCACTGTCATCACCTGAAGAGTCTGTGAGTGTCACAGGTCAAGTTCTGGCAGAAGCCATCCCGGAGTCAAAGATTTCAAAGAACGGGCTCCCAGGAAAAAACAGTAAGGACATAGGAGGGTGAAGGATAGGGAGTGGGAAAAATTCAAGCGAGGATGTCATTTCAGACTCTGCCTGCCCATGCAGGGAGCCCCAGAATAGAGAATACACCTCAGAGTTTGTCCTGTTTCCAAGCAAAGGAGTTGAGCTTCGCTACTCCCGGTATATGGGCTATACAGGGCTGCAAAATAGGGTGAAGTATAAAAGATCCTCCCCATACTTCTAGTGTTTGAGGGTAATCTGCAAGGATTAGGGTAATCCGGGTGCTAGCTGTTAGCAGCAAAATATGCAAAACCTGAGGACAGCTCACAGAGCCAGATCTGGGCGGGGTAGCGGTTGCTACTGTGTTTCCTGTTAATTTCTTGTGCTGGGCCAACAAAACACATGCTACTTAACTCCCATTTCAAGATCAGTTTCATTTTTACTTATTTAATTTAATTTATTTATTTTTAAAAGTTTTTTGTAGGGCATTTGTGCTCCCCAGAGATAGAGAAAAAGGCAAAGTGAGAAAGCAAGCCACCGGATCTTGGACTCCAACCACAGTTGGCCTGTGGGGGTCCAGCGTCTTAACCACCACACCACCTGTTTTCCCCACAAATTCAAAGTTTCTAAGGGACTAACATTTAAAGCGGGACTGTCACTGGACTCAGACTTGTGTTTGAATCCTAATTCCATATAAGGTATTAGAAAGTCTTATTACTGACTTGACCCTTTGTCACCATATAGTACAACTATTCCTGTCGCATAACGTTTTTTCTTTTAGTCACTCAATCATTAGCTCAATATACTCCACACGAGGGCATATTTTCCACACCAGGCACTGTTCTGAGGTTGTTCTGTGAAGGACATGGTGATGAGAAAGACTCAGTAAGATGGACAGGTCTACACAACTGCTTTTACTTTGGTAATTCTTTATTTTCACAGCTCACTAGAACAAATTACCTAAAACCATCTCAGAGAGATGCAAGGGAAAACTTCTTGGCACTGAGCTGGTCAATAAATGAGAGAGGAATCCCTTTCTCTAAAGAGTGTTAGATAACAAAACGGTCCTCACACACTCTGGACAGTTCTTCCAAGGGTAGACCTGTAGGCAGAGCCCTCTTCTGGCAGCCTAAAGATTTCTTTTTCTTCCCTTTGTTTGTTTGTTTGTTTTGTATTTGCCAGCAGGTGTGCATACCAGAGAGAGAGAGACAGACAGAAAGAGAGAGAAAAAGGAGAAAGCATCCCCCAACAGGATATGGTCATGCTACATTCCTTTCCTCCATTTCTCCACCCCGTTGGGATTTGGACACACACACACACACACACACACACACACACACACATGTGCTTGGTATGTTTTCTTAAACATGTGGGATCTGGCTGCCTTAACCTCCAGAAGCTGGCTCCTCTTTCTTTTTCTTAATGATAGGGAGCATGTGTGCGAGAGAGAGAGAGAGAGAGACACTTGACGGGGTTTTCACCATGTCGCAATCCCCCTTCCATAGACCCTAGCTCCCAGGCACTCATGCGTGGGCCCTCTGTGTTTTCAGGCTGAGCTGGGCATCTGAAACCATGCTCAGTGATTTGGCATCCAGCCTCACAGGGCGCTTGCACTACTGCTGTACCACATGGATTGGCCAGGCTTGGGGTTTCTGAGAATGACCTTCTTACTTGGAATTCCCAGTGTCTTTATCTTATCAGGAACTTCCAGTCCTGCCTCTGTCAAAGTTCATTCTCTTTAATCTGGTGAGGAAGACCTTTGGGCTGTGTCATGGAAGGAGAGAAAGCAAATGAGTGGAAAAGACAGAGAGAAAGGGGACTGAACTTAACCTTTTCATCAGGAGCCCACTCCTGCAATAACTAACTCATTTCTTTTTTATTTTTTTATTTCATGAACCCATTTCTAAGATAACTATTTTAATCCACTTATGGGGACAGAGCCCTCATGATTAATCACCTTTTTCCCCCTTATTTGTCACAGGGCATGTGCTCTTGCAGGACTGAGACAGAAAAAGAGAGAGAGAGGGAAAGTAAAAAAATCACTCCCCCTTCTTCTCCATTTCCCTCTCGGGATTTTAGGCACACATGCACACGTACCCAGCGTGATTTCCAAGCCTCCAGGTCCAGGACTTGAACCGTGGTCTACCATGTGGGCATCCAGCTCCTTAACCACCTACTGGCATGACTCACCTCTTAAAAGTGCCACATCTCAACATTGTTTCCACAGTAATTATTAATAAATTTCAACATGAGTTTTGGAGGGGACATGCAAATCATGGCAATTCCTAAGGTCAGGCTTGACAGGTGGCGAGGTGAGCACAGTTCCCAATACTGCTCTGTAGACTAAGGCTTCTGCCGGGATCACATGCAATGCTCTTTTAAAATTTATTTATTTATTTATTTATTGAGAGAGATATTTGCTATGGGGCGTGTGCACTCTCCCGAGACACAGAGAAAGACAGAAAACGAGAAATCACGCCCCAGAGGGTATGGCCACACCGCAATCCCTTCTCCATTCTGCTCTTGGGATTTTGGGCACGCACTGACACATGTCAGACGTGAGTTTCAAGCCTACGAGTCTGGGACTCAAACCATGGTTGGCTGTGTGGGAGTCCAGTGACATAACCATTACGCCACCTGCTGTTCCACAACACTCTCTTTTTATAACAATCATTTTGTGCTCCCTCTTTTACTAGTTGATTATGGAAGTTCAGTAATTTAGTATGTGAATGCTCCTGCCTGGATTGCACTGGCTGGGGTAAAGAAATATCACTTGCTACTGGCCCAGGACCTGGGTGAACCAGTGAAATGAAACCAGTCTCAGAGGTGAGCTGTATGAATGACTCAGATTCAGATAAGGTACTGCTGACTCTGGGGTGATTCTCTGAAATAGTGACAAACAATCAAAAAACTACATTTTCTTCAGCATTTTCTGGTAGTTATGTTCCTGGAAAATTTAGTGTATATGAGCCTGGGGGTAACATCTAGTTAATAAGTATTCAGGAAATAAAATAATTTTAAAAATGTAACCTCTTAACATGTAATTATAAACAGGAGTTTCATATGTTAAGTATGTGTTTGTGGGGACTCCTGGCCCTCAGCCCCGAAATACTCCAAGTGACTCTATCTCTGGAACACCCGAAAATATCCCTATTAATTTCCAAAGCGCCTGTAGGGAGAAATACCGCTTCCTCCATTGAGAACCACTCCCTACTGCCAGTCTAAGCCACAGCGGAGAAAAAGAAAGCAACACGCCCTTCCTTCCCCTTTCTCGGAAAGCACGGGGCTTTAGAAAAGACGAAACTTAAGAGAGGTCCTCGCCTGTAGCCTGAAACAGGGTTTATTTGCGGTGACTGGTGACGAGACAGCCTGCGCTCGGGTTCTGATTGGGCAGTTGAGGAAATGTAAAAGTAGTTATCAGAGGAAAACGCCGGTGCTGTTGGCCTTCCAGCTGAGAGAGTTTGCACCGCGACGCCCTGCTGGGTGACCCCGGCTCCGCTCGCGGGGCACCGCGGCCAGCACCGTGAGCGTCTGCCAGGCGCTTCCACCGTGTCTGCCGGGCGCTTCTCACCGGAGGCCGCGCGGT